CACAGTAATTACAACTGCAATTAGGAACATCCCAACAGCATCATCTTCCTGATTCACATTACTCACTTGCCTTCCATCCTTTTCTTTCCACTATTATTCATGTCTTATCTAACTGAATGTCATGGTGAGGACACTTAATGTATAGATGTATGTGAGAGACCAGCTGTAATTACAATTTACTGTTAACATTAAGAATATTCTTCACAGTAACAGAACTAATAGAAACACAAGACTGGATAAGAATTATATTGCAAAGGTAGAAGAGAACAAAGGAAAAGCTATTTCATCTAGCTTTATATTTTCTTTCTAATATCAAATTCACCTGCTGATGAGTATTCTGACACAGTTTGGTACTTAGAATACCTAAGGAAATCCAGGGCCAAATAACAGTGTGATGCACTGTGGGATCTCAGTTCTTTCACTCCTTCACTTCAACCCCATTCTCCCTTTTGCAGTTTCTAGTCACATACTTTCTCTCAAATTGATCTTGAATTTGACAGTCGACATCAACACTACACTAGATTTACAAATATGATTAGGGTATAAGAACAGGATACATCAGAGAGACCTTCCCCAGCTAATCAATTAATCATGTTACAGAACACATATCCATGAACATAATTTCCAGTTTTGTGACATTTAATGTATTAATCAAGCCAAGCCCAGATGTACAGAGCAAAGACAGCTCACCCTGCTGGGAGAGCCAGTGCAGCTCCTCCTGTCCTGCCCCCACACTCCACACAACAGGCTTGTGTGCATCTAATTCTCCAAGCTTATTTTAGTTTGAATCACATCCACAAGATGGTATCAAGTTGTTGAGATTGCTCTGCAATTTCAGGAAGTGGCCTGCGGAAACTAGATTTCTGTAGCACAGAGAAGAAAATTCCACCCAGAGCTCTGTGTAAGTGCCTGATGAACACCCTTTTATCTCTAGGTGAAACACTTGAAAACCCAGCATCTCTTATGTCAATGTTCCCTGCCAGCCCAGGTCTGGGAACAGACAAGAGTTCAGCAGCGTTATTCACAGTACGTTTTATAAGAGCTGACTTATCTGAATGCTACAGTTACACTCTTTCTTGTATGTCCTTGCCTCAAGAGGTAGCCTTTATTTAATGGCTGCAGCTTTCCATATGCATGAGGCTTCATCACAACAGCAGCTCATACAAATGCTAGCATGCAGAACACAGAGTGATGAAATATCAGAGCACATGTAGACAGCAGGTGATGGCAGAAGTGAAAGGCAGTGATCTGTATTTCAAATGTTTATATTAAGATCTTCTAGGAAAACTACAGTCTCTTTTCTTTCTCAGTCATCCCATCTGAAACACAAGTCCAGAAGTAACACTTTTCATTCTTACAGCATTCGTGTTTTCCTTTCTGTAGATCTCAAAACACAAAAGCAGGTAAGAATTGTCTGTTTAGCCTGTGACAACCCTGCTTGCATTAATTCCTGCCAAAGGCACTGGCAGGTCAATAGGCAAACCCCAAATCTCTTCAGTCAGAAAGTTCTTTTTAGCTTTGCTTCAAGTTTCCATAGCAAACATTTGCAAAGTAAAAGCAGGCTGTGTCCATGCTGCTTGCCTCTAAAAGCAGAAGTTACTGATGCTGCTTCTTTGGAGGCAACAGTAAAACTGCCACTGGGGAGAAAGTGTGATACCCGGAGCTCTTCATTCAGAATAGATGGGGCTAAACCTAATGACCTGGGTAAGCTGTGCTTAGAGCCAAAAGACTCATTGGTCAGAAAACCAAGTGACTCCTTCAACACAACATGCTCCTTTTCACTTTTCAAAGGATCCCTTTGTGACATGAAACAGCAGCAGAACTCCAGCTTTTCTGTCACCTTGACTTCCACCATCTGACAGCTCCTTTAACATTACACAATTCCTATGAGTAGCAGACGACACTTGTTCAACCTTTTGACAGCCATAGTAGGTTTTCGGAGCTGTTTTGTGTCGAGATGTTTAGGGAAGAAAAAGGGATTGAGAAAAATCATATATAGAGACATCATGCTCTCCAAGTAATATTTTTACCTTTTAAAAGCTACATTTAAAATTACCTTTAGTGGCAAACTTTATACTCTGTTTAAAAAGATCTTTCAAAATTAATAGGGTAAACAGCAACCAAAGCACACCTATACCTCTGTGCCCTGCAAACATACCCTTCTTCCTATCACTTATTTTCTCTCCTTCTGAAACCACCAATAATCACATCCTCTAATGAAAATCCAAACACCTCAATTTATTTCAAAATCAGTCATAAATGGAGCGAGCTAAAAAAGCCTCCACTTGACAGCTGGTAACCTGTAAGAAACAGACCTCTGCTAAAGCTGAGAGACAGACACAGATGAGGCGGTAAAATTTAAAGAGCAATAAGGATCCAACCTACGGACAGGCTCTTTGCAAGCACTCTTAATTCACAAACTGCAATAGAATGACTACAGTCATAGAGACATTCTGGAAGCCTCTTCACCATCACTGAATAAGGAAGGGCAAGAGTAATAACCTCCACTTCTAACCCTATCTTTCTACACCAATTGCTCAGAGTTTGCATTTGAGTTCTAACTAGAGAAGAGGAAAGCGAAGCAGAAGAAAACACAGCACATCTAAAACCATCCCAATCTCTGAGTGACAAGGACAAAAAGCAGACAACAAAACAGATCACCAATTTAAGTGCAGCTTAGTCTAGACTATTGCAGAGGATGCCTTCCATGATCTACCTGCCCTAAGAGCTAACAGGCTTTGGCCCTGCAGGCCTTTTAACCGACAAAATTTGATCAACATGGCTGCAGTCTAGGAGCAGCTCAGGTCAGCCGTGACTGAAACTCATGGCTTTCAGGCACCCTGCAGCAGTTGCACTGCCCTAAGTTTCAATCAGTGGGAGAGATTTCTGTATAGCACAGATAAGAGCTAAGGACATCTTTGGAAAAGGATGGCTAGGCACTCTCCAATAAACCTTGTTTCTCTACATGCCTTGTCCTCATTAGCTCCCTCTGTGAGATACCCAAAGGTGTCCCAGTTTTTTTCCAATACAGAATTCCAGAGCAGCAGTAAACACGCAAACAACAGAATCCTCTGCAATATAATGCACATTCTCACTAACAATGCAAAACAAAAAAATTGCCACTTATTCACCTGGAATGAAAACAAACACCTCACTCATGGCTTAGAGACAGCATGAGACCTTCCTAAACAGTAAGTGGAGAGCACCATTCAAACAGATATTCCAGGTAAAAGCTCTTGTGAAGCAACAGTATCATCATGCATTATCTAGATGAAACTATCATTGACTTAAGTATTAGAAAAGGAGAAACAATATACATCAATTCTACACAGGTATATTCTTACTGAAAGTAAGTGAAATAATTGGTTATCTTGTTATTTGCATTAATACTGACAGAAACAAACTGCTGAGAAATGCTGGAAAAACAGAACTCAACCTTTCTCTCAGCAAAACCACAAAACACTATGTGCCAGTGAATGATTTCACATTGTGGAGACAGCCAGTGCCTGTGCTGTAGACAAATACTTGGTTGACCTCATCAGCTCCTGGAGCACAGGCCTTGCTGTCAAAGCCAAATCCCAGCATTACTGTCTTCTGCATCTCCCTGACAGCCATTTCTTTGTTCTTGGACATCACCCACAGAGGCAGGAGGATTCACCTGCAAAGTGTTAGAGGTCCCTTTGGGATCAGCATCTCACACTCCCCACTGTATTTGTTCTCTGCACAGGTTCTCTACTCTCCTTACTGAAGCAAACTGCAAGAGCCCTATTCCTCTTCAAGCCCAACACCCATGACTGTGGCTGCCACAGGTACATTACTATACCTAGCATGCCTAATTTCCATACTCAATGGTATGGAAAATTCTGTGCTGGCGCTGCTGGTTTTGGTGCTCCATGAGGGAGCAACTCCTGCTTGGAGAACTGCACAGGATTACAGCAATGAATGTTACTTGACTTCATGGAATCTGCTTCTCTAGTACTAAATATAATTTCCATGGTTGCTTAAGTAAAGAGTTTCACAGCTCTTGATCTTTGCAGGCAGGAAAGAGGGAAGAAGCCTGAACTTTGGGAGTCGGGAGTTTGCCCTTCTCCAAAGCAGATCAGACATCAGTAACCCTGCATTGAAAGCTTCAATACCACTAAACTGAATTTTTAGTTTCCCATCATGATAACTGACACAATGCACCACACCTCAACGTTTCTGACAGACCTTCCAACTGGTTTACTTATTTCTGCTCCCTGCCTTTCCCCCCACCCAGATAATCCCAGATTAGACTACTGAAATAGGATCTTATCAGGTGCAGGTGTTCCTCCTTTTCTTCGCTGGCACAAAGCACAAAGCATTTGGACTGCCCCGGTAGACAATAACACCCAGAAAAGATTCTTATTTCATATGCATGAGACAGATCTGCAGCTCCACCGGGACTGACACACAGACTTGAAAAAGAATCTTGTTTACTCTCAATCACAGACAAGTCTAATTAATTTCTTTTAACTTACCATGAGACTGCCTTACCCTGGGGAATCCAGGGTGTGCAGTGTAATGAACTAGACAGAAGAAAATTAAACAGTAGCAACTCATTCCTTGCATGACCATCTCTAAATGTAAAATTCTTACAAACCAAAGTCAACTCCACATATGCCCTCTCTGCAAACTACCAGTAAATCATACAGTTTACAAGCAAGAGCAGGTTATACCGAAAAGCCTTCAGCTTCCAACAAGGACAGACTGCTTTAGTCACCTTTGAAGGCTGTTGCGATAAGACCTCCATTTCCCTACTGTTTGCCACTTGAGCATTTTAGCAACACTGCTATGTGCCTGTACAGACTGCTCAAGTCTATATACATGACTTCTGTAGCTTGCTGAAACACTTACCACCTGCAGAAACAGAGTGCCCTCTAGCTCCGGACAAACGCCAGAGAATCTTCCTGTTTCCTTCAAGTCCAGCAGCTACAAAGGAGACAGCAAAAGCATTCTGTTACCTTTCTCTGTACTCTTACCTGTCCTGGGGTCAAACAGCTGGTTGGCCTCCAAGTCTGTGAAGGTGCTGAAGCAAATGGGGCATTTAAAAGAGGCACGATTGGTGGAGTCTCTCTCATCCGTCTCAATCCTCCTCCTCATGTGGTCCAGCTTGTACTTCACCACATTAACCAGAAGACGGTAGTTGATGAAGTAGTAGTTATGACGGGTGGTTTTGCCATCTGGAGCCGTCTCTACCCTCATCCTGCATTTGATGAACTTGTCACCCTTGAGGGTATTGAGGACAGCCCGCAACTGCTTCCTATCGAACTTGAGAAGCTCTAACATGTCCTCTTCCTTCACACAGGGGTTCCTGATGAGAATGTCCAGAGCCAAAGCATGTTCAATGCCATAAAAGCCACGCACCACATATTTGGCAAGGCGTTTGAGAGCTGCTGGGACCTCAGTGAGAACGTCTGGGTCAGTCATAGCAGGTTCAGATCCAGAGCTTCATGTATACTGCAATGAAAAAAGGCAGAGAGATTCTTAGCTAGTTTTCTGACTTCAGAAGTTTCATCTCAAAGCTAAGAAAATAATGGGGTGTTTCCCATTTCTCTTTCCCAAGCCTTGTACTGTCTTCTTGGGTATTACTAACGACACTGTTACAGAAGTAGAACTAGGAAATGGTACCTCTCATTCAAACAAAATGACTGAAAACTTAAAGCCAAAAGAAGCTGGTACCATAACATACAGCAGATTTCATTTCTACTCAGTGACAGCCAACAGCACTGGAATAAGAAAGCTGTCTTGAAGCTGAGCTCCAGGAGACAGCTTCATGATCAGCTGAGACTTGCAGCTTGGGAGAAGCAGAAAAAGGCTACAGCAAGAGAGGTCTTAACACAGCCCAAGAGTGGAGTAGTCTTGTGGCCCCAGCTGACATCACTTTATCACACTATAAGTAGCTCTGCCTGCTTCTACTCCTCAGGCATCGCTGGGAAGAGATACTACATGAGGACAGCTTGCTAGTACAGGCTGGTATGCATTCAAACAGAAGCCCCCAGTTGCACAATGCAAACAAATAGACTTTTTCTCTACTTTCTTATAAATGGATCCTAGTCAACCATTTGCAGCATGAAAACTGTTAGCACTGCCAACTCCTGTATCACAGACTGCTTTAGCTTTGATCTTAGATGAGCGAATAGGAGCTTACAAGGACTGATCCTTCATTTGAAGTGTCTCACATTTAGGCCTTAAGAAGCCCACAAATAATGCAGCATGATAAATGAAGTAAAAATGAAGACTTAGTGAACATGAAAAGATGATGTTTGAAAAGAAAAAATGTTCCAGAAGTATCCTTTGAGACAGTTACCAGGGCTCACCATGTTCCCTGTGACAAAACAGTCATTTCTAAATACTGTATTTTCACTTCATTTTAATTCACCTTGACATCAAATGGCACAAATAGTCAAAAAAATTATATGCTTCTGGGACATACACTGGATCGCATATAGGACCATATAACACAAGGAATTCCTCAGACTGTCACCCCTGCCACAGACATAGCCAAAAATCAAACCCCAGCAGGCAAGTAACAGCAGTGACTCTTCTGAAGTAGCCAGTTTTGTCCTCTGGAGAGAGACAGGGAAGCAACACCATAAGGCACAGAACAAAGGCTCGCTGTCATTTCACAGGGTGGCTTTGCACATTTCCCCTCCACTCTTTCAAATCTGTAGGTAATAGAATTTCTCCTCTGCTCATAATGCACTAGGATTCCCATATATGAAAGGTTCAAGATAAGCATGATGTATTATACGTGGTTTTGAAATACCCTTTCAGGGGGCTGTACTTCTAGTTAACTTCAAATAAAATTTGAAACAGCCTTTTACAACGAGAGTCCTATGCTAGTTCAGGATATGAATAACCACTTCTTAAGCAAAAGATTCCTTCAACTGAAGAAAAACCCCACACCTTAATTTCTGTTTGATCGTCATTGCCAAGCAATTTTTATCTGTGAACCAATACCATAAATAGTAAAACTCTGCCAATCTCAAGTTTTGCTATCATTAGATGTTTCACACATTGTATATGCACCTCCCCAGCATTCAGGACTCAAAGGAAAGAGGAGACTGACAGCAGAAGAAAGGATCTGGATGGGTACCCTGTTTTCTAAATCACTATCATAAAACCTGCAATATCCTTTCTGACAAACAGAACTTTTCTATATTCCCCGCATTAAGACATCCCCCTGAAATCACCAAGCTCTACATGTAACCAAGCAGCTGATGACTCACTTCCATCAGCTAAGACTACCCAAAAATCTGTGATCATTTATCACAGTTGCCTGCCTGGATATTTTTGGTTTCATATGAGAAACATTGCCCTCCCAAAAAACTTTAAGCAACCTTACCCACTGAAGCTTTATTACTCCCCAGACCTCTTCTGCAACTAAGGTGGTATGCTCCTCTCAAAAGTTAGCACAACTGCAAAGCAATTAGGCTGTGGATTGTCCTGTCTTTTCTGCCTTTTGGGTAAGAAAAAACCCCACACTCTTTTCTTTTAAAATGCTTTCCTGCTTGAGCTTTTCTGCTTCTCTAACTTATGGCCAAATGGTATTCACAGTGCTCAAATTGAAATGGACTGCACCTTTGCTGACTGCTAGCGTGCAGGCTGAGTATAGCTTACAGAAAACTGCTTGGATGTCCAGCTCCAGCTTCCCTTTAAGGAAATTAAAGTATGTTTATTATGGAATGAATTAGCTGTGAAACAAGTACTTCTACAGTTAGTTAGCTTTCTTTTGCATGCCAGATACGTAAGGATTTCCCTTACACAAAGGATGGGTTAGCAATAAAGGATGCCCCATCATGAGTTAGCCATACAGTACTTTTATATCTGTAAATCAGACCCAATCTGAACACCACCACAGAATGCTGGCCCTTGAAAAACAAGTTTCCATTGGAATTTTTACAGTCTTTCAGTCACTTAAAGATAAATCTTGCTTTTGACTGTATCTGTCAGCTACATACTGATAGTACAAGACAATGTCAATGCAGAAGCAGGCCACAAGCTTGAATTTGATTAAAACTTACTTAGTTTAGGCACAGTATAACATTAACGTAAAGATCAATTTTAAATAAAAGCTAGCACCCCAGGAAAGATTTTAAAAGTCAAAAGGTTTTTCACCCCTTCTCTCCTCACTGTTCCCTGAAATTCCCTTGCAGAAAACCTTGGAATGCAACCTGCAGTGAGTGGGCACTCCCTGAAAACTGGTTTTAAATAAGCACACCTCACCCTGGATACCTCCACCTGAGAGCCAAGGGAAAGCATTTTCTCTCCAAGAATCTCACTGGTAAGACAGCTGCAGATTTCCACAGGCACTTTCAAAACAGGTTTAAAGTACAATTTCCCAAATATTGTACTCAAACAGCTTAAGCTGAGGCCTACAAGGGACTAATAAATAAAACCACCTCTAAGAGTCTATGCTTCCCCCTTGGTTTTGAGCAATAATTACAGATTTAATAATATTTCTTAGTGCCAATCTCTAGAAAACTTTTTTTTTTTTCACCTGAAGTGACCAGGAGTCTTTACACAATTATTTCCCCTCCTTTAATAGAGATTTTTAGTGATGTCCTCAGGTAATAGTGGGCATCTTGAGTGCAACATTGATTTTCTTCCAGGCATGGACATGCAAACATTCTACAAACACCACAAACCATTCTTTCCCATTAATCTCCACTTCAGAAAGTTTAGTAACACAGATTAAGTTTTAAATCCTGAAGAAGACAGCCACTGGGTGAGAGAACCAAGGGACTAGTGTCAGCTTTAAGACAGAAAAGAAGAAAAAGTAATCAAGAAATAAAGCCAAAGAACACCCTTGTCAAGCTTTGTTACATGAAAGTAACAGCGCTGAACACATCTAACTTAGCTCTAAAAATGCGCATGGACACATTGAGCAAGCACCAGTTTTGATATTACATTATGGCCTAATGCCAGACTGACCAAAAGTAAGGGTTAGAACAAGATCTGTATGGCTGGATGAAGGACATGTTTCACAATATCATTCTTGATAATCATGTAAACTAGACAACACAGAATGACGGCACAAGACAAGCACTTCCAGAACTCTCCAGGCCAGGGACTAACACTGTATCTCTAGAAAAAGCTGACTTCTGACCCATGAAGAATCCCAGCCTACAGCGTAAGCACTGCAAATCCTTACTACCTTTCAGCAGGCAAGAAAGACAGTGATGCAGCTCACAAGCTGTAATCCAGTGCCACAAGAACATCAGTTTAAAACTCAAAAGCAGAGGACTTCAGCACTGCAACCTTGAGCAGTGATTTCACCTTCTATTAAAGCAGTAAGTCAAGCCTGAATTAATTACATGTGCAAAGAAATATGATAACAACTCCTAACAAGGTTTTAATGGACCTCCATCTGTTTCCTAATAATGTCTGTACTTCATTAATAATGTATGAACACCAAGGGATATTGTCAGGAAAAAGAAAAGCAATGGCCAAGATACGCCACAATGCAGTAAGCACCTACAGCACCAATAATAAAGCACACTGAGCAGGACAAGACTCAAGACACCCAAAAGAAGTATTTTCCATATTTAAGAATGGGTTTAAGAGACAGCTGTTAGGGAATTGTTCTGGGGAAATAAGTTAATACAATGAAATATTATGGGAACATAGATCTGCCTGTGTTATTGCAGTAGGACAGCAAGCCTAAATACACAGGTCTTGGGCATAACTTGAGATGCCAGAAAGGAAACAGAGAGCAGGTGACCATCAAAAACACATTCAGTCTGATCAAAGACAATTTAGAAGCCAGAAATTCAACTGAGCAAACATCTCCACTGGTCAGGACTTTCCTGATGCAGCATCAAAGCAACTCAACTCTTCTTCTCTGTGTACCAAGACCTCAAGAATACTTTTGCAAGCTCAACCAGGAATTGTGCTAAAGATACTGAATTTGTTTTGCTTCCTGTTTTTCCTTACTAAAGCTCAGACGAAAGACAATGTCCTAAAAAGATGATACCTAGAAGACACAAAGTAGATGAAACTAGAACTATAAGTTATGAAACCATAAGTTAGCCAGTGAATTAACCCAAATTTTTACCTAATACTCCAAATGAATATCACTTTGTTCTAACGTAACGCCGAGGCTCATACTAATTCCAATAGTAATTTTACCTCAAACAAATTAATGAAGTCTCACTGTTCATATATTTGACAACGTAAACAGTGTGAGAACAGGATCTGGAAAAGGAAGCAGACTCCTCTTCACTCATTTTGGTATACAAACCCTTTTTAACATCCCAGAACTCTTCTGGAGGAAAACCTGAGAGTTGTAGGGTTGGCTTGGAACTTAAGTCTATCAGACATACTGTTAAACCCTGGAAAGGTGCTTCCTGCTTTTCAATGCATCTAATTTAAATCATTAGTGCTCTTTTTCACTAAGTCTTGAGGCTGGATTTTGGTGAACTAGTGTGAGGCATTCCTGCCCATGGCAGGGGGCTGGAACTGGATGATCTTAAGGTCTTTTCCAACCCAAACCATTCTGTGATTTGCCTGGAAAACATTTGTGCAGGCTTCTGCCATAAGACTTCTTTAAGAGGAAAAAAAAAAATTAATTGCTTATACCACTGGCACAATTTCTTCAGGAAAAATCAAAATCAGGTTATAAGAAGAGTCCCTTGCTTGTAAACATGGCAAGTACAACAGCCTCCTGTGAGCCAGTGTATACCATATCCCACTCCAGTAGTCACTTGCAAGCACCAGATCATAGTTTTGTAGTCTCTCACTCTAATAAAATCTAGAATTCTGTCTTCCAGAATATGATGTTATACTGAAGGGTGATTCTGAATCTTCCCAACTACAGGGAAGGAAGGCACAACTTTTAGAATTACAGTGGGAAAACATTCTATCAAGTTTTTAAATGTCTGTACAGTGTCAGACACTACTCATCCTTTCCAGAGACTTGGAAATGGCACAGAATCTGCCATTTTCAAGTCTGCTTTTTCATTTTTCTTTGCAGAGAGTGGGTGATCTGTGCAATATGTCCCTATTATCCTGAATTATTACCCTTATCAAAGGGTTTTCTTTACTGAAGATGAAAAGTTGAACCACAGCAGCACATAGAAAAGCTGAAGGGCCTGGCTGAAATTAGGACATTTTTCACCTAATTTCATAAGTAAAAATATATGGAACCACACAGAAGGCCACACAGTCTGCCCATGCAAGGCAGAAATTGAACAATGCAGGCTTAGGATTTAATTCTCAGTCACATTCATAATCTAAACCTGACCTGGACAATAGCAAGATGTCGGTAAATTACAGGACTATCTATGTGCATGTATACAAACAGATGCAGTACTCAGAAATCCTTCAAATACATGCTAGCATTAACAAACTATTTACAGTTGTAGACAAAAAAATTACAAGTGCACTATATATGTGTCGTGGTTTAACCAATGCCAGGCTAAACCCAGGACAATATGGAAGGCCAAACTTAGTGGCTAGGATAGTGAAGGTACAGTTTTCTGTTCCACCTTAAGTCTAATTATACTCTCCCTCCCACAAAGAAATCTTTCTTTTCCTTACCAGCCTCCAGCAACAACCCCCACCGTTCCAGGCTCATTTTGACACTTGCTTGTTCATGTTGAAAGGTGAATTAAGTTGGTAAAAAGTGAAAAACTGATGTGTCAAAAAGCAATAAATAGGGTATTTTTGAGGGAGAGCAAGGGGGAAAGTTAAAAAACTGGATCACTCACATGACCAATGTAGAACCTACCCAAAACACAGAAAGCATGGCTAGGGGTGTAGAAGAGTGAGCTTTCTCCATGAGGTGGCATAGATGTTAAAGTGACTCAATTGTAATGTATAGCCATTAGAACATTTTGACCATAGACATCAGAAACTCTTACAATAAATAACAGCACTTGTCACAAATATCAAGCTTAAGGTAGTCATAATTACACCAAAATACACTGGGCTTAACCCCAGAATTCCTTGTTAAGTTTCTGACAAGAAGAAAGAAATCATTATTTGTCACATACTGCATTCAATGGGAACTGAGCCACCACACCTCTCATAATGATAGATGATATGAGTGCTATTGTCTGATTTTCAGGAATTTCAGATGAAGATTTATGCAAGTATTAGGTTCAGAAATGTTTTAGAGCATCGGGGTGTAGCAAGCAAGTGCATACACTAGGGATTTAAGCAATAAAGAAACAGAAAAACTAAGTAACAAAATACCAGATAACTAAGTAACAAGATACCATTCATGCAGTTTCTTGTTTAGTGAAGAATTCACTCAAGCATCCTGTGTGAAAGCAAGCTGTAAATGGTATCTTTAAGGATGTAGAAGGTAGGAATGAAATTCCCATCATCCCTTATTGCTTCCAGAAAAGTATTTCCTCCTCTCCCAAGCACACGCCTCTCCTCTCTCCCATGCCAGCTTTAGCACTCAGAAGACCTGCCCATACACCAATCTGCATCACTAAAAGGCATAAAAGTACCTCTTTTACTATCCCTTTTACTAGGTTTTTTTTGACAGTTTAATGAGCTAGTGGAAAAGTCTGATGAGCAAGAGAAACAGGAGCTGTGAAAGGAAGTGCAGGGGAAGAGATGAAAGATGAAATTCCACCTTTTGCAACTGAAAAAATATGCCATCTGCATTATGTGAAAATATGCCTTAACTGCTGCACTGCTGAACACCTTTTTTAGAATGCTGATCTTCCTTCTGAACCACCTGTAAGGATACAAGTTTGACAGCTGGGTCAATTTAACAGCTCAGGGCCATTATATGTGACACTCATCTGCTTCACAAGGAAGCAGCAAGCTCGTGAAGCCAAAAGAAAGCTAATGCACAAAACAAAAATACCTTTCTGACCTGGAGAACTGAATGCTTTCACCATACGGGCTCAACCAGTGGTCAAACCTGGAAAAAAAAGGGATGAGCTAGATTTCTTACAGTGCCAGTTATGACGCAAATTCCCCTAATGTTGCAGCTTCTTTAAGATTACAAATGACAGAATCAGCTTGGTTGGAAAAGATCTTTAAGCTCATCAAGTCCAAACTTTACCCCTGCCCTGTTAAGGCCACCATTAACCTATGTCACTGAGGGCCTTGTCAACACCATGTCTGAACACTTCCAACGATGGTGACTTCAGCACTGCCCTGGGCAGCCTGAGCCTCTTCTTCTCCATTCTGATCCCCCCAGGTCCCTCAGCATTCCCCATCACACTTGTGCTCCAGGCCCTGCACCAGCTCCGTTGCCCTTCTCTGGCCCCGCTCCAGCACCTCAATGTCTCTCTTGTAAGGAGAGGCCCAGAACTGAACACAGGATTCGAGGTGGGGCCTCACCAGTGCCCAGTACAGAGGGACAATCACTGCCTCGGCCCTGCTGGCTATACTGTAATTGCACAGATTTCATAGATCGTTATAGCAGACTAAGCTTTAAAGCCAAGCAAAGCAGTGAAGCCCTTATGCTACCTGCACAGCTTCCTATTCCATACCCACTTTTACATGTTGATTTTTAAACATTCAATCGTGCAGGCTTTCCGAGACGGAAGGAAAGGGGCTTAGACAGCATTCCCTAAAAAAAATACCCCGAACAATCGAGAAAACCCTCCAAACCACGCCAGAGGAGGGGCACACGGTGCCACCGAGCCTGAGGCAAAGCGAGCTGTGAGGGCAACGGCCCAGCCAAACAGCACTCGGGGAACACGGACCCCGAAAGCACGAACCCAAAACAACTGGGAAAGGGGGGCACAGAGCGCCGAGACCGGAGCTCCTGAGGGTCCGCCTCAGCCCACCGCGGCGGGGCCAAGAGAGGCGGAGCAGGGAAGAGGGCGCTTGGCTGTTTCCCCCAGTAGTACCGCGTAAATGGTGGCTCAGGAGGCCGCGGCCCAGAGAGGAGACGCCGAGGGCCAGCGGTGGAGCCGCTGTGTGTCCACAGGGAGAGGAGGGTCACGTCGGCCACTGCCCGCGGCCGGCACTGACCTGCAGCCGCCTGCAGCTCTGAGCAGAGGCGCTTCCGGCGTCAGAACCCTCGCGCACTGATGACATCACAAAGCGACGCGCATTCCCTGCCCGTAGAACCAATAGGAAACCCATCCAATCGGAGCCTCATAAATCCCCTCCCGCCGCGACCAGTTCCTGCCTATCACTGGAGTTGAACCAATCAGAAGCGAAAGCTTGAGCAGCCAGCCAATAGGCTGAGTGAAGCGGCAGGAACGTGCGCTGCGATTGGCGGTGGTGTCCGGGGGTTGTTGCCAGCCTGGGATAAGATGGCGGCCTTGGATAAAGTCAAGGTGCTGGTGCTGGGCGATTCCGGTGAGTGTCGCTCCCTGTGTGCCCTTCCTGGCCGCCGCCTGACTGGAGCCCGGCTGGCGGCATCCCCCGTGTGTGTGCTATGGGGGACCCCTTCCCTCTTCTGAGGGTTGGGCGGCCGTTAACGGCTGCTGAGTTGAGTTAGAGCTTCTAAATTAGGGCAGGTTCAGGCTGGATATCAGGCGCAATTCCTTCCTCAGAGGGTGCTCAGGTATTGGAACAGGCTGCCCAGGGCAGTGCTGCAGTCACCATCCCTGGAAGTGTTCACACACCGTATAGACGAGGCCCTCAGTGACATGGGTTAGCGGTGGCCTTGGAGGTGCTGGGATAATGGTTGGACTTGATGAGCTTAAAGGTCTTTTCCAGCCGATTTGATTCTGTGGCTGTGCCCAGCTGCTCTTTGGCGTTTTCTCTGGCTTCGTGTGATCTCCCAGGAGTTGTCCTTTGTGTGCACTTGCAGGTGTCGGGAAGTCTTCGCTTGTTCATCTCTTATGCCACAACCAAGTGTTGGGAAACCCATCCTGGACGGTGGGCTGCTCAGTGGAAGTTCGAGTAGGTGATGTGCCTGACTTCTGGGTAGCCCTACCTTGAAGTGTAAGGGAAGGGCCTTGACTTTTTTTACCTTTTCATTGCTTACTGCTCCAGAAAAATGTGTATTTTGATGTTCTGTTCTGCTGAGGGCTGAATTTGTTGAAGCAAACAGCAATAAATGTGAGCCAAGCACTTGTGTGAGCAAGTTTTCTGCTTACTAGGTTATCAAAATCAGGCAGGGTATTCTTCATTTGTAGCACCTCTCCTGACTGCAGTGGTCCCTGCCATGTTACAAGTCATGGTGCAGACTTGTAGAAGTCAGAAGGCACAGAATTGAAACCACGCTTCCTTAAGAAACAGTGAATGCACAGCCAAACTCTCAGCCAGACACACTGGGGAAAAGAAATTTGCTTGTTTAACTTGAGGGCACTAGCTGTGAACATAGGATTGCTTCTCCTTCTGTGTGCTCATTGCAGGACCTGCTGTCAGAAGAATGAGGATATCAATCTAACAAGCTTTTAGCCCAACCTACAATCCTCATGGGACAGTAATAAATGGGTTTTTTTTCCTTCATTGCTCTTTGCTACATTCTCTTTGAAATATGCTGCCGTAGGTTAGGAATTTATTTCCAAAATTTGGGGAGAGAAATGTGGTGACCCTGTTTGACTGTGGAGCAAAACATAACCCAGGAGCAAAAATTAACTCAGTTGAGGTGTCAATGAGAGTTTGGAGAGGAAGACGATGTGGTCAGTTGGAATCCCTGTGGGCCCCTATGTATGTTAATATTCTTGCAGTACTACCATGTAGGAATTCATGGCCTTACTTTTTCATCTGCTTTAGCAGCGTGCTGTTTTTAAGCATGCCAGGAGGTATTAGATTTGTTAATACTGAGGTGGAAGGGATACTCCCTACACATTCTCAAAGCTCCATCTCATACAGGAGCTGTAGTATCCAGTGGCCACTGCTTGACTCATTCCATCCCTCTTCTGTTTAAGAGATTTGAAATGGTGTCAACATCAGCATTTACAAGATTCTATCCAAGTACAATAATTCTTCTAGCTGACTACCTGTGTGTTTTGTGTATTAACTCCTGTGAGCTGCTGCTGTGGTTATGTATGATGTGAATTTTTCATCAGATCCATGACTACAAAGAGGGCACTCCAGAGGAGAAGACCTACTGCATTGAGCTGTGGGATGTTGGAGGTTCGGTGGATAGTGCCACTAGTGTGAAAAGGACACGAGCGGTATTTTATAAATTGCTGAATGGTAAGTTTGCTTGCTGTAAATCTGGTTTTATTGCTATTTCTGTTGAGTTGTCTCTTGGTTCTGGGGCAGGATTCCTTTAAGTGTGGCTGAGGGCTATATTCTCTTTTCTGACTTCAGTGCATTTGTAAAGAAAAAATGATACAATTAGTAGGGACAATTTGGTGGATGCAGTTTTGAACTGGAAAGCTATTTTAGGCAGACCTGTACAGATGAGCTTCGTTAGCTTTTAGTTTCAGTCTTGTGCAGCGGGGACTCTTTGATGCTGTAGTGATGTCCCTTACAACTTCTCTTGCAGGCATAAAGGTTCTCTTCACGTTTCCAGGCCTGATATGCATGCAGAAATATGATTTATATTTTCTTGTCTGTTGAGTTCCAGAACCTGCCTGAGGGAAATAATTATTTGAATTTATATGAATTTCAATAATTATATCTTACCCTGGCAAATCTGAATTGTGCCATAAAATTGCAATATGCTAATAACCGTCTTGCCGTGTTCATTTAATTTGACAAATTATCTTTCAGAATTGAATCTTGCAACTTGATCTATATAGAAAGTAGTATTTTAGGCCTTCTATTGAGATTCTGACTTTAAAGGCTGAGTAGTTCATCAGAACCAGCAGTAAGAGCAAACAAGAGATTATAAATGTAGCAAAGCAGTATTTCAGTTATTACTTTTGGGCATCCTGGCATTGTTCATTACAAATAGATGTATACAAGATTAAAAGCTGCTTTTGAAAAACTGTCTCAAATGTTCTGTTGGATTTTCTTTTCTTGTTCCAAATCATTCAAGGGTCTTTCAGTAATGTGTTAAGCCATACAATAAACATTTTTGCTGTATGATTCTTTAACTACTTATTTCTTTCCCCTTTCTCCGGAGGAAAACTGTGTGTAAATACCTCTTGCTTATGCTGTTAACCAGACCTCTCTAAGTAAGGTCTGAGTTAAGTTGTGCTCTCAAAGCAAGCCTCTTTGGTATATGTTAAAGATGGATTTCTTTTTGACACCAAGTCCACAGCATGCCAGTGAGCATGGGTCAGACTTGGAAATACCCTACAAAAGCCCATTAGGAGATGAAATCCTGAACTTATATATCTGAATTATGATTGATGACATTATTAAAATAGGGTTATTTATCTCCACTGCCCCAAAGTTATTATTAGGCAGCTCACATTTGGAAACTGTTGACTTTGGTAGTTTGTCTTGGCTCTGGTTTCTTTCATTAGATTAATTTCTTCATTAGAGCTTGTCTCACAAATTGCCTGTTTGACCTGGCTTAGGAAAAGAAGATGAATGTGTTCCCTCTGTCTGACTGATTGTGCTTTCTGGCCTTGCAGTGACCTGAAAACCTGAGATCAAAAAGCAGTTGATGTTTGGTTGTGGCAGCATCTGTGCAGGCTGTCAGAGACCTGGTTGTTGACAAGGTTAGGTGTAGTTTGCTTTTAGTTTGACCGCAGGTCTTGTGCTTTGGTGACCCTCCATCTCGTGTGTGGACTGTACTGGACAGTAAGGCTGTGGATTGCAGACCTTAATGGGGGAGGAGCATTTCCTTGGGTAGTCATTGGTCCTGCCTGCTCTTTTTTGATGTTGACACAGTGGTTTTTTTCTGCTGGTGCAACTAACTCTTTTGGTTTTCGGTGAAGCAGATAAGGGAACTAACCAATCCAAAACATAACTGAGCAAGAGTGGAAGTGGGGAGGGTTTCTCACATGTTATGCAGCAGTGCCTCTGAATTTGTTGCTGTATGCCAAGTCATCTTGTATCTCACTTTTTCTCCTGACCTTGGGAGTGGACACACAGTTGAGTTGCCTTTTTACACTGTTACTGAGATAAATGCTTTGAAATAGAGCTATGGCTGTGATATGCTTAGAACTCTCATAGGACAGTCTGTGCACAGTGGTGTGGGGTAGTGGAAAATGTTTGTGGAAATGTGGTGGTTTTTTTTCATAGTGTGTGCAGTGGGTGGCATGTTTGGGAGTTCAGATGAAAGATAAAATTAATACTTTTTCTCCACGTGTAGGCTGTTAAGTGTGTTGAGAATGCATCCTGATGAAGATAAGGGTTATAATTCCATTTTTTCCTTAAATTGTTAGTTTAAAGTCTAAAAGAAGTGGGAACACTCTGCAGGTCGTAGAAGGTGTGAATAAATAGAAGAAATTTACTAGCAGGAGTTGGTAATTGAGTTACGAACTGTGGTTATCAGAAGTGGGTGTCTGTTAATAGCACAACTAGGAAGTTAGACTGGCTGTTTCTCAGAATTTGCATTCTGAAGGATCATGGTAATGAAAAACGCTAGAAGCTTCATCTTAAAAACGTGACATCTTATTAATTCACATTTCTACCAGCCATTTGGTGAACAGTGCAAGTTTATCAGAGACTGGTACCCTTTGGATACCTCCCCAGGTATGTAGCATTAGCTCTTGAAAATGCAGGAATG